GATAGATAGATAGATAGATAGATAGATAGATAGATAGATAGATAGACAGATGTGAGTGTGTGTTATATGACTTTGGGTGGGAGGTATTAGGGGGTACAGACAGGGGAGGGGGTCTAAATATGATCAAAATATATTGTATGAAATTCACCAAAATTCAATAAAAAATGAAAAAAAGATCTTTTTAATTTAGTATTTAAATTTGTGGTCCAGTTGTGTCTGAAACACTTTAGTTGGTTTCATAGTGAGCCAGGTCTGTGCTGGTCTGAGCACTGCAGGAGCCTTGACCTCACCAAGACAGAGCTGCTTGGACAACTCTGTCTGAAGGTGTTGGAGAGTCAAGGAGGTCAAGGGAGGATGAGGCCAGGCGACCTTGAACCTGGGCCTCACTGCACCACAGCTCAATGCTGAGGATCTCAGTAAGTTAATGAACTGCTCCCACTTCGCATGAAGTCACTGCTGTCTTTGACATGTCCCAGTACTGGAAACACTGTGGTTCTGTGGACACCTCATGGAGCAGCCTTCCCTAGTAAAGATGATGTCACAGAATTCCAGCTCCTGATTGGAGAGAGCAATCTGTACTTCACAGGTAGGGAAATCTCTGACACACAGAAGGAAACTGTCAGTCGATCCATAGTGTGGGAGAATCTGAGGGTGTTTCCAGCTTGTCTGACTTTAGTGTCACTGATTTTAGTGCCACTTCTGGAAACTGTCCTTCTGGTTATCCATAGCCCACACCTCATAAAGCAGCCACTCAAAGCAGAAACTGGGAATCTTGGGGAGTCATGGAGGTGCAGCGTCCTGACAGGTTTCAGTTAATGTCCTCCTGTGCAGAAGTCTGGGGAATGCAGAGTGTGACCCAGAACTGGGTCTGGATGAAACTTCAGTTCTTTGACTTGTGTGTGTGACCTTGGAGGACAGATTAATGTTTTCAGACTTCAGTTGTGGACAGGCTTCCTCTAATTCCAAATGCTGTTTTTGATTTAACTTGTCTGGACTTTATCATCCTTTAGCACAGCATGCTCAGTTTAGATCCAGCGTGTTTGCATGGAATACTCAGAATCAGAATCCTCACAGACCCGTCAATTAATACTGTACCAGGAAGAGTTTGGTTTTCTCTCTTTTTCATCCAGATCTCACGTCAGCCATGCTGTGGTAAAGTGCCAACCTCTTTAATCCCCAGGGCAAACATTGGGCAGGTTGTTGTTTTAAGGAGTCAAGACCAAACCTAAGACCTCATTCTTGCTAGGTAAGTGCTCTCACTGGGCTGTACCTCCCTTCTCTTTTCACTTTGAGATAGTTGTGCTGGTTGGAGTTTCTGAGCTCAACACACACTAGAGACACCTTGGAGGTGAGAACTTCAATTGAGAAATTTTCCTCCATCAGATTGGCCTGTGGGCATGTCTGTGGGGGCATTTTCTTCATCGCTGATTGATGTAGGTGGGCCCAGCCCACTGTGGGCAGTGCCATCCCTAGACATGTGAGCCTGGGCTGTGTAAAAAAGGTAACTGAGGCCCAGAACTCTGCAGACTGCTAAGACTGCCTGAATCTAGCCTCTGCCTACCTAGCACCCCAAATTGTGCTGTGTCTACTGGCTACTAGGGGCCTAGACCTTAAGAGGAAGCCTGAGAGTGTCTGATTGGCTTCCGACTTGGACCTCTGTGGGAGCTCCTGAGTAGCTGGACTAGAACTGTCTGGTCCCTCCAGTATAAAATCAAAAGCGAGAACCTGAAGCCTAAACCAGCTTTTCATACCCAGTAAGAAAACAACCAAGGAACATCAGTAATACAAACAGAATCAGACTTCAACTCAACAAAGGAAGGCTTGAGTTTCATACCAGGATCACAAACAGGATTGTAGAAGACAATTTCTCAAAATTAAGGAAAGACATCTCCATACAAATACAAAAAAACACATAGAACACCAAATAGACAGGACCAGAAGAGGAATTCCCCATGGCGTATAATAGTAAAAACGTTAAACATACAGAGCAAAGAGAGAACACCGGAAGCTGCAAAAGAAAAACAACAAGTCCCATACAAAGGAAAACGCATCAGAATTACAGCTGAATTTTCAATGCAAACTATGAAAATCAGAAAAGCCTGGACCAAAGTATTCCCAGTTCTAAATGACCATAGATGCCAACCCAAAATACTTTACTCAGCAGAAATATCTATTATGGTTGAAGGAAAAAGAAAAAAAAATTCCATGACATGAATAGGCTGAAAGAATTCATATCCACAAAACTGGCCCTTCAGAGAATACTTGAAGCAATGCAAAGAGCTGAAGAAAGGAATGACTATACCAAGGGGCAACAGAAAGAAACTAAAAGAAGGCATAACTGTGGAAATGCAAAGTTAGACCAAGAATGCAAATTAAAATGACAGCAACCAATACACATCTTTCAATAATAGCTTTAAATATCAATGGACTGAACTCCCCAGTCAAAAGACAAAGGATAGTTGAATGGATTAACAAACAAAATACATTTTTTCATTGTCTGCAAGAAATCCATCTCACCTTCAAGGACAGGTACTACCTTAAGGTGAAAGGTTGGAAAAAAATATTCCAAGCAAATGGTACTAAGAAACAAGCAGGGGTTGTAATTCTAATATCTGACAAAATAGACTTCAAACTAAAGCTAGTCAGAAGAGATAAAGAGGGTCACTTCATTTTGATCAAGGGAACCAAGAAAACATTACAATCATGAACATATATGCACCAAAGTCTGGTGCACCCAAATTCATAAAAACAACACTACAGGACTTTAAGATTAACCTCAACTCAGTAATAGTAGGGGACTTCAATATCCCACTGTCTCCATTAGAGAGGTCAACCAGACAAAGAATAAACAGACACCTGAATTAAATGAAATTATGTATCAAATGGACCTAACAGACATCTACATCTACCAAATATTCCATCCAAGCAACAAAGAATACATTTTCTATTCAGCACCCCATGGAGCTTTCTCCAAATCAGCCACATACTGGGGCACAAAACAAACCTCAAATAATACAAAGATTGAAATAATTCCATACATTCTATCAAACCACAATGTGATAAAGCTCAAAATCAATGCTGAAAGAAGCCGTAGTAGCTACACAAACTCATGGGGATTAAACAACACACTCCTGAATGACAAATGGGTCAAAGAAGAAATTAAGAAAGAAATAAAAGTATTCCTGGAAGATGTAAGCCAAAAAAACCCTTTCCTCCTGAAGTTGGTTTTGGTCAGTGTTTTTATCACGCCAAAAGAGAAGCTTACTAAGACAGCACTCTTACATCAATTAGAAATCAAGAA